TAACCTTACACCCCACCCTCCCCCACCTCACCACAACCTTACACCCGCTCCACTCTCCCTTACTCCACCACAACCTTACACCCCACCCCTCCCCCACCCCACCACAATTCTACACCCGTCCCCTCCCCCGTCCCCTACCACAGCGTTGCGGCCCCTCTGCACACGATAGGACAAGCGTCCCAGCAATGCACGCGCTCACACTCACCGCCTATCTTGATCTCGCCACACCCGAGTCGGTCCAAGTCATCGTTGATGCTGCCAATCTCAGCTATGAGTCGCACCAGGATCGTCTGACACAGCCACTGAAACGCATTGCATACCACATAAATGCTGACCTGTGCCCCAGTATAATCACAGCTAACTGTTGACGGGTGCACCAGTATAATCACCGCTAATTGCTGACCAGTGCACCAGTATAATCACCGCTAAACTCTAGGTGGTGCCTCAGTACAATCAGAAGTGTATTATACAAGGGAGCAGATTCTAGGAAGAAGAGCAAGTTGAAAAGCGTGTGGTACTATCACGCTCTTATTATGCGACTCGGTATAATGGCACTTGTGAAAGGTTGCAGCCAGAGAGAGCATTTGCCTTGTGCAGTAAGTTGACAGATCAAGCTGTACTAGCACATTCGTATTCGTGTGTCAGCTGCGGATAGTTACGCACTCACCGAATTCACGTGTTCGCTTAAAGTTTGAAAAGTTGAAGATGTGTATCGCCTTTGAAAACCTGCATGTCACTCCCTCGCTCCCTCCTTCCCTCATTCCCTCCCTCCCCCCTCTCTCTCGCCATCTCCCTGTAGATAGATATGTGTTTACATGTGACTAAACGACGTGTTTGCTTTGTACATTTTGTTTGTATATTTAAATTTGATACATTGAAAAATTATCCTCTTTAAAAAAGGAATAAAATCTGTACACTACATGTCGCTGTGTATTAACATGCTTACTACTGCAACACCAAGTCTTAATCATTAACGCGTTCAGAGTGCAAGGCCACATTTTTTGGGATTCATGCAGCAAGTAACCGATAACCATCCAGCAGCAAGAATACACTACAGCAGCAACCACACTCATACCTTCCTGATGTTTTCTGTCCAACGGTCGAGTGTCTCCCTGTGTATCGCCAGCTTGGACCACACCTGTGAAGAGATAACACCAAAACAACATGTTAAGATCTTGGGGAGAATAGGGTTGCACGTGGAACGCGTCCATGCGCTTATACTGTGGAAAACATGAGAAAAACACGTTTTGTAGAGCACCAACTGACCGGATGGTCGATGCGAGATTGGTCGGGTCAGCATCGCATGTAAGCTAGGTTCAATGTCCTCGTCTAACAGTGAACTGGGGGCTGATGCTGACCACAGTTTCGCTTATTGTAAACAACAAACCGACCAACCTTCGACCAACTCGCCGATTGAACCTCAAACGATCACCGAGCGATAGGACGATATCACGTTGCCTTTGCATTGACCTCAGATTGACCTTACGCCGACTTACGCTGACCTGATATTGAGATCGCGCTGACCTAGCATTGAACCGACGCTGACCCGGCATTGACCTCGCGCTGACCTGACATTGACCTCGTGCTGACCTAGCATTGAACCAACACTGACCTGACATTGACCACGTGCTGACCTAGCATTGAACCCATGCTGACCTGACATTGACCTAGCATTGAACCCACGCTGACCTGACATTGACCTCGTGCCGACCTTGCGTTACCTCACTTTCCTCGTACGTCGTGCGTGTGTCGACATCATCGTCCTTGTGCGACGACGATGACAACGACGCGTGGTGGGGCAGCCGACTCGACGCCTGGTACTGGAACTTGCGTAGCAGCTGCGTATAATCCGGAGTCTTCCCATAGCTCCAGAACGACTGGCTCTGACTCGCTGACGACGCCTCCAGGTTGCCTGCAACCATCGATCATCACTCACAGCCCTCCGAGCATCATCACTATATCTGTCTATATGTCTATATTATGTCTGTATAATCTATATATATATAAAGTTGTTCAGCCGAATTAGTGTGTTCGCGCATAACTAGATAACTCCGCAGCCTAGAGGAAAACTAAATATATTTTCAGAATCAGCACGTCTGGGAGGTGGTTCTGCCTGAAACAAAATTTCAGTTAAAAAAGTTAAAAATTTATACAAATTCTATTCATCAATAGATGGCGTACAGATTAACATTATACATCGCGTACGTGTGAATCCATGGTGTATAACCGTAACGGCCCAGTAGCCAAATGCATAAAGCATCGGACTCCTAAACCATTGATTCTGGGTTCGAATCTCACCTCGGGAAATCCTTTGTTTCTTTACTTTTGGACTGTTTAGTATGTACTTCTGCCGTATTCACCGTTAATTTCCAAATTAAAATTTTTTTACTACATCTAAACGTTTAGTAAAAATCCAGAATAAATTATGGTAGATGATAATGATAGCGCCAACTGACGGGAACACTTCACGGAAGCCTATGAAGGTTACATATCAAATATTATTATATTTTCTATTATTTTTGACTTTTTTATTTTAATGACTTTTATCTTTTGATTTCTTATTATTTTTTACTGTTGGGATGGGATGGGATGGGATGGGATGGCATGCGATGAGATGGGATGGGATGGGATGGCATGGCATGGGATGGCATGGGATAAGATGGGATGGGATGCGGTGGGATGGGATGCGGTGGGATGGGATGGGATGGCATGGCACGGCATGGCATGGCATGGGATGTGATGAGATGGCATGGGATGGGATGGGATGGGATATGGGATGGGATGGGATGGGATGGGATGGGATGGGATGCGGTGTGATGGGATGGGATGGGATGGCATGGAATGGGATGGATGCATGCATGCATGGATTGATGCATGGATAGATAGATAGTTCGATTTTTTTGGGTATCTTCCTTTCAACCAAGCAGTGACCAACTGAGTAACGCCACTTATTTCCCCGGGCAACGCCAGGTATCCCGCTAGTGATAAATATTATATCAGGAGTGAATAATAATAGATTTATTATTATTCATTATACTAGATCTATATTAATCTTAATATATTAAATAATAGATTAACATATTAATTATCTAGATTAATATTAATATATGTA